CTTTCTTTCTTTCTTTCTTTCTTTCTTTCTTTCTTTCTTTCTTTCTTTCTTTCTTTCTTTCTTTCTCCATTCACTCATGAACACAGGACAGGGAAAGCCTCAGAGAAGAGGACAGAGAAGGGAGGTACCTAGACATCAGAATGCTACTCTTCCGGAGGTGGCAAAGGAGCTGTCTGTCTATCAGTCCTCAAGCAGGGCAACCATGAGACCTAAGTCTGTGTGAGGCAGTCAGTAGGCTAGTGCTGTATGCTTGGCAGTGAGGGATGCTCTACAATCTAGTTCCTTAGCAGCAGGTAAGAGGGGGGGGGTTGTAGGGAAGGCACTCTCATATTCCTGATTGCATTGTCTGTTTGTCCCCATGTAGGGCCAGGCACCATGCCCTGCTGTCTCCCTGGAACATGGTCTGTTTCCATCTGCAAATGGTAACTTAGCAACAAGCTAGGCTTTTCTCCTCAACACCATCATTTGTGTCTTGTTCCAGAATAGTTATCAAAACACTGACCATAAATGCACAATGTGTCATAGTGAAATGCATGGGCACTTTCTTTTGAATATTATTTTATTACATTTAGTGTGTGTGTGTGTGTGTGTGTGTGTGTGTGTGTGTACTCCTATTTTGTGTAGGTTGGAGGCTAACTTGTGGGAATCTAACTTGTGGTGGCAGGCCCGCCTACCCACTGAGCCATCTCACCAGCTTCCACTGTGTTTTCAGGTAACAGAAGTTCAGCCATAAAAAGGTCATGTTTAATTAGATGCTTCCAAACTTACCAAACACTGTTGTAAGAGCTTTTACCTCACCTGATGCACAGACAGCCTCAGGGATGTTGGTTCTATTGCTACTGGCTACAGAACATCCTAGCTAACCTAACAGCTCATTCTGATATCTGATTGAAATCAGGCGGCCAAGCACCAAAGTCTGATTTCTTCTCTCTTCCAGCTCTAGGCCAGATGGCTTGGGTCCTAAATTCTTGAGCACAGACTGAGAGAATTCCCTAGTTTCAGCTCCCTTGATGTGGACATCATGGGTTTGGGATCTAATGGGACATAATATTTCATTGAAAACAGGTCATTACTGTTAGGCATTGGTGGCACATGCCTTTAGTCTCAAAACTCAGAAAGCAGAAGAGGCAGGTGGATCTCAGTTCAAGGATAGCCTGGTCTACAAAGGGAGTCTCAGCACAGCCAGGGCTACATGAAGAAATTCTGTCTAGAAAAATCAAAATAAAATAAAATAAAATAAAAATAAAGAAAAGAAGTCATTACAACTCTCCTGCCTGCTATCATCTGGGTAAATGTTCCCCAAAGGACATGGTAAAGATTTGGTCTCCAGGGTGGTGCTGTTATGGTCCACAGGAGATGAGACTGGGGAGAGGTCTGTAGGTCACTGGGAATGAGCCTTCAAAGAGGATTGTGGGAGCCTGTTCTCTTCCTGTTTCTCTTTCTTCCCTCCTGGGATGCATTGTTTCTTCTGCTTCCCACCTTCACCAGAGACTCAAGGAATAAGTTCCCTTGATTCCAGACAGGAACTTCCTGAACTTAGGCCAAATTAATCTTTTCTCTAAATTCCATTGTGAGGAGATTTAGCTGACTAATAAATACAAGGCCTGTAAAATTCCTGGGTGATTCCTGGCAAAGGCACTTCAATTCCTTCCATCAGCCCTTCCCTGGGGCTCCAAAAGAAGCAGATGCATGCTGGGAGTCAGCTTTGTACTCTGGTCCACAGGGAAGCTGGTGGATGGCGTGATGGCACCCCAGCGCCTCTGTGAACCTAGTAAACTGAGCGCTGAGTGCAGTTGTTTTCTTGGGATTGAATACTGTCCTTAGATCTCTTCATCCCCAGCACTGTCTCACTGTCTCTGCTCTCTTCACTTCCCCTCCCCTGGGCTTCAGTCTAGACTTCATCCTGTATCAGTTATACGGCCCTTGAACAACCTGCTTAACTTCTTTCTCTATACCAACATTTTCTCACCCATGAGGTTTATAATAGTATCTACTTTACTACGTCGTGGGGACTAAGTAAATATATTTTCAGAGAGGCAGGAGTACAGGGGTGGTGAGTGCCTTGCATGTAGGAAATACTTTAGATGCATTTGTTGGTGCTGCAACCTTTGTTGGTAGAGGCTAGGCAAGTAGGGCCTCATCCTGAGTCTCTTCATGTCTGATCTCCAGGGTGTAAGAATGTGGATCTACTATCAGTGTTCAGGGTACTTAGTGACAGAAATGAAAACTTCTAAAAGAAATCCTGTTGACATAAGCTAGGGAGTACATGTGTCTGTTTGGGTACCTGATGCTTGCTTAGCGAAAACAAAAAGAAGGTGCCTGGGCTGGAGCTGGTGTCTCCATTGGCAGAGACCTGCTTAGCATGCAAAAGGCCCTGGGCTCAGCCACCAGGACAGAACAAACAAGGCTTGGTGCTGCACATTTGTAATCCCAGCACTGAAGAGGATCAGAAATTCCAGGAAGCCAGCCTGGGCTACACAAGATCCTGTCTCATAAAGAGAAAAGAGAGAAAACAAACAGAAGGGCAGGGAGGTGGCCCCTGACAGGAAAGCTGGCTGGAGGTTGGACAAATTGCCATGGGACAAGGTGAGCCAGTCCCCAGTTCACAGAAGTATTCGACAAAACCTGATGGCCTCTGTGAGTAGATGGACAGAAAGGGTTTCTCTCTCAGTCTGAGGCCAGACAAGATAGCCTAATGTCCTTCGCTACGAGAGTCTCCATCTTGGAATGAGAACAGGTGCGCTGACTGGTACTCTCGACTCGCTATTGCCTCTCTGTGTCTGGTATTCAGTAGGTGCTCAACAGTGGTTAAAGAAGGGAACACATGCATCCAAATCATACTGCCTAGGTTGAGTAACGCATACCCTCTCCGGGGCCCTGCCTGCCGGGAATACAGAACCAGGTCATCCCAGGCAGGCATGCGCAGTCACTCACCTCAACTCCTTGTTTAGCACTTTGATGTTTCCGTTCTCCATCAGCGAGTAGTTGGCTTGAATGCAGTTTCCTTTCTCAAAGCTCGCTGGGATCTTCTCAATTTCGTACCATCTTCCAAGATACTGCACAGACAACAACAAGCAGAGGCAAAACCCAACGGGTCTCTGGGGACCTGCTGACTCGTCCGCATTGTTGCCTTAGAAGCAGAGCCCTTTCCAGGGGAAACCAGGCCAAATGGACTGCATCGTTCCCAGCCAACTGGGCAAGATACTGTTTCAAATGAGAGTAAATGATTCGGATGTGCGGGCAATGATTGCATGCCACGTTCTATTCCTAAAGGGCTCTTTATCTGGATATGTTCTCAGAGTTCTCTTTAGTCAGAACTCGTGTGAAATTCCAGCCTGTGTGAAAGGAAAAGATTGGCTGGTTGATGGAAAAATACCTTTTACCTCCAACAGCTGATAATTCTACAGGACGTCTTGAATTTTGTGTAACTCAGACTTGCTGACTGTGGGACACTTGTGTTTGGAGTTGGTTACTGTACCAATCTATAACCTCTGCAGAGGGCAGTTTGGTAATATTGAGCAAAACTAAAAATACACGTTCTTTTCACCCAGCAATTTGTCTTCAGGGAATGTCCTCCTGTTGTAATGATGTGTGCAAGTATAAAGTTATTTGTTGCAGGTCCGTCTATAACAATAAAAGACAGGAAACAGTCTAGAGAAGGGCTGGAGAAATAAACGCTTGTGTATCACTCTGATGACATTTTTACAGCTCCTTTTTAAAAAGTTATGCGCGATTTTCTTGAAGGTTATCTATAGGATAAAGACCATTACTAGCGTCGGGGCAGGAGGGCTGTCTCTGTGCTGGACTCTGCTGCCTGCCTTTCGATCCCTTTCCTCATAGATGAGCTGCCTTGTCTAGCCTCAGTGGGAGAGCATGTGCTTAGTCCTGACTCATATGTGCCAGGGTTGGTTGTTGGTGGTGGTGGGTGCTTCCCGTCTCTAAGGAGAGGGGGAGGGGGAATAGGAGAAAGAAGGTGGGACTGGGCAGAGAGGAGGGAGAGGGGCTGCGATTGGAATGTAAAGTAACTAATAATAAAAAATAAATAAATTAATTAAAAAAAAAGAATAAAGAGCAAAGAGCCAGGTTTGAAGCGAGGTATTTGCTTAAGCTGCCTTTGGCGTAACAACAAGGAAAAGCTGATTGTGTGGGGTTTCTACTGCTGCTTTGATGGGCTCTACGCTTTAACTAGCATAGATTTATTAATTTATGGCTTTATAAGTCAGACTCTGACCCTAACGTCACCAGGCTAAAACTGAAATTCAGGCTTCCTCTCCTTGCAGAGGCTCTGAGGGAGAGTGGGTGTCTCTGTTTCCCTGTGTGACTTATGCCACCTGCTTTCTGGATTAAGCTCTGTGTGTTCAAGGTCATCCAAGGCTGAGCAGACCCTTGACAGCACCTCCACGGCACCTCTCTGATTCTCGTGTCTTCATCAAACCCCTCTCTCTGACCACAGCTAGGAAAGATTTTCTGCTTCTAGCAATTTTTTTTTTAATGTGGTTAAATTGGGTCTGCCTGGAAAACCAGGTTAATCCAGCCATCTAAGGTCCCTTTATTCTTTGGAATAGAATAAAGAATCAGCCCATAGACTCCCTTTATTCTTTGGAAGGTAGTATGTTCTCAGGTGAGAAAACAGGCCATGGACATCTGGAAGCTTTTATTTTGGCTACCACAGTCTTACACATATTTGTTTATATATGTATACATTGTCTAAAAAATGATATACAATATGTTGTTTTTATTGGCTGCACCTGGGATGGGAAACTGAGGGGACTAAAGGAAACGTCACTGAATGCTGGACCGTTGGAGTTTGTCCTCCCCATCCCCACTCTCTGTGGTGCTAGGGATGGAATAAAGACTCACACCGGGCAGAGATGCTATCACTGAGCTATGCTATCACTGAGTTATGTGCACTGTCAGCATTATAAGCTATTTGAGTGTATCTGCCTAGTCAAAACAGTAATTATAGTTGTTTTACAGATTTGAAAATCTATCACCCAACAGAGCAAGTAAAGCATGCATTTACCTCCAAACCCTCGGAAGCATCCTGAAAACCAAGTGACAGTACCATTTCTGTCACATGACTGCTCAAGCACACACCCACATCTTTGACTACCCTTTCCTTATCCTTTCAGTAAGCGCCCACAGTCGCTTAAAAACACTGAAATTTAGCAAAAACCTCTAATCCCAGAACCTGGGATGTTCGGAAAGCAGAAAAATCAGGGATTCAAGGTCAGCATGGGATACATAGAGAGTTAAGGTCAACCTGGGCTACAGAGACAGCCTGCCTCAGAAGAAAACAAAACCAAAAAAACTAACAACAAACAACAACAACAAAATCAAATACGACCTTCATTGAAAGTACCAAAGAAAGAGGCCAAAAGGTTTCATAGGCATGCACAGAAATATTTCACCTTATAATATGTTTAAAAGAGTTCCTAATGAGTCAGGGACCTCAGTGATCCACAGTTAGGAGCAAGTATGACTTTCCAGAAATGAGGAAACTCAGAGGCGAGAGGTTGGCCTGCTCTGTTTCCTCACGATCCTATGTTGCCCTGTCAATCTTCATCAGTGAAGTTTCTAATAAGGACAACTCAATGTCTAAAGAAGAAAGCTGGAAAGAGGCAAAGTCACTCTTATTTGCGGATGATATTATATTCCTCCATACAGAAAGTCCTAAGGAACTGTTTTTGAGTGGCTTTGAGCTGATTCTCTTGCCTTCACGTCCCCTTATCTAATGGTAGTGATGTGTCCGGCCAGGCTTAGTTCATTTGGTAATGGGAATCAAACTTGGTTTTGTGCACTGTATGCAAGCATTCTACCAATTGAACTATAACTTCAGCCTTCCTAAGGTATCTTACATACACACACATACACACACACACACACACACTCTCACACACACACATGACTGAAGCAATGTTATGCAAATTTAAAAGATGCAAGATCAATATGCAAAAACATTTCTATACATGTGAGGGAAAAATCTGCCAATGAAATTAAGAAAATTCAATAAATTATAACATAAAAGGAATAAAAATATCTAGTAATCAATTTGACTAAAGACATGTAGGAATTTATATTTTGAAAACTACAAAAGCCGGGCGGTGGTGGCGCACGCCTTTAATCCCAGCACTTGGGAGGCAGAGGCAGGCGGATTTCTGAGTTCGAGGCCAGCCTGGTCTACAGAGTGAGTTCCAGGACAGCCAGGGCTATACAGAGAAACCCTGTCTCGAAAATCCAAAAAAAAAAAAAAAAAAAAAGAAAACTACAAAATATTGGTAATACAAGAAGGTAGGCAGAAAGTAAATAGATAGTTTCTGCTTATGGACAAGAAGAGTCAAGGCGATGATGTTCTTCAATTTTTTCTTTATATTCTCTGCAGAAATGGACAAACTGATCATAAAATTCATAGGAAAACACAAGGGACACAGATTGGCTAGAAGAATAAAGCTGGAGGACTCCTACATTTTAATTCAAAATTGTGGTGATTTGAATACACTTGACCCAGGGAGTGGCACTATTAGGAGGTGTGGCCTTGGAGTAGGTGTGACCTTACTGGAGGAAGTATGTCACTATGGTGATGGGCTTGAGACTCCTCCTCCTGCTGCCTGGAAGACAGTAGTCTTCTGGGTGCCTTTGGAATAAGATATTAAATTCTCAGATCCTACAGTACCATGCCTGCCTTGATGCTGCCATGCTTCCCACCATGATGATAATGGACTGAACCTCAGAACCTATAAGCCAGCTCCAATTCAATGTTGTCCTTTATAAGAGATGCCTTGGGGGCTGGAGAGATGGCTCAGTGGTTAAGAGCACTGACTGCACTTCCAGAGGTCCTGAGTTCAAATCCCAGCAACCACATGGTGGCTCACAACCATCCGTAATGAGATCTGATGCCCTCTTCTGGTGTGTCTGAAGGCAGCTACAGTGTATTCATATATAATAAATAAATAAATCTTTAAAAAAAAAAAAGAGTAGCCATTGCGGCCAGGAGGTGGTGGCTCTCACCTTTAAAAAAAAAAAAAAAAAAAAAAAAGAGATGCCTTGATCATAGCGTCTCTTTACAGCAATGGAAACCCTAACTAAGATAAAAACTTGGGATAAATGTGTAGCAATCATAGCCGAAGTTATGCATAGACATTTAAATAGAATTGAGATTTTGAAAATAAAATGTCACATACATGGTCAATTAATTTTCACTATGGATCTCAAAACTATCATCAGACAATTGGTCTTTTAAACAAATGGTGCTGGGACAACTGGAAAGTCACATTTAAGTGGAGTTGGATCCTTTTAGGACACAATTTTTAGCTTAAAATGAATCAAAGGCTTAAGCACAAGAGCTTACCCTAGAAAACTCTGAGAAGAACACATAGGTATAAATCAGTATTGTCTTGGATTAGGCTCTGGATCTCTAGGTATGAGACTGAGCACTACCTACTGCACTAATGAGACACTTACTCATCAGCTACTTAAGTTTGTTTGCCTGACACCAGAAGAACAAGAAGCATCAGAAAACATGAACAAATTAGACTTGATCAGTATTAAAAAAGAACCTTCATGTTTCAAAGGGTATATCAATAAAGAAGAAAATTCCACCAAATGAGAGAAAATCTTTTAAGATATCTGAGAAGAGATTTGTATCTAGCATAGAGGAAGAATATGTGGGTATCAACAATTAAAAGATAAATAACCCATTTTCTTAAAGGCGAAGATTTGAATGGAAGAGTTACACATGGCTCATAAGTAAGAGAAAAGACACTCAACACCATTAGCCATTAGGAAATGAAGGCGATGTCGTTTAACACCACTATGAAGCCTATAATAACAGAAAACATGACCACAGCTGCTAGAGAAGACACAGAGACGCTGGAGTCAGGGGCTGTTTGTGAGACTTCAAAGTGATGCGACTCTTCTAAAACAGCCTGTCAAATTAAACATGCCTGTAGGAGTGGTTCAGCGTTAAGAGCACTGGCTGCTCTGCCAGAGATCCTAAGTTCAATTCCCAGCAACCACATGGTGACTCACAACCATCTGTAGTGGTACCTGATTCCCACTTCTGACATGCATGAAGACGAACACTTGAAAACATTGCCTTCGGTCACAGGAGGCTAGCATTGTGCATTCCATAGACAAATTCATATTGACAGAAAGTAAAATACTGGATTAGAGTACAGGCCATCACTAGCTGTAGAGCTGCCAAGTTCTGACACCTAAGAGCTGTCCCTTTCTGCTGCCACCTTTGCCTGATTCCAGGAAGAATTTATGGGAGCTAATTATATTGTAGGTAACAAGAAAGCACCCCTGGGGACTACAGGCTCTTCCTTGGTCCTGTCTTGAGTTCTCTGTATTGATAGGATGCCTGGTTTTGAACCCTATGTGTATGTTCTAGCTGTGTCACCTGAGGGACACCCAGCTTCTGTCTCTGTGGGACAGCAGTATTGAACCACAGTAGAGAATCAGATAGAGTTAATGCCCCTACTCACAGTCCTGACCTCCCCATAGGTGTGGGTGTGTTCTGATTTGGATGTAAAGCTCCCCACGCTTGGTCCTGATAGGACCAGAATTCACACATGGGACTTTAAGGAAGTGATTGGATTCTAAGGGCTCTGCCCTAATCAATAGATTAATCCCTGGATGGATTCACAATTGATGTGTTGGGAGGTGGTAAAAGCAGGAGGGTCTAGTTAGGGAAAGCAGGCCAGTGAAAACACGCCTGGGAGAGATGTAACTTGGACAGGATCTCTTTTCTCCCTCTCCACTCACTGGGTATCTTAAGCTAAGCCGCCTCCTGTGCCACATCCTAAGATGTTCTGCCTCGCCATCAGCCTGTGGACCATATGAACCCTAGACTGAAGCTACCAAAACCAGGAGCCGGAAAAGGTCTTCCCTCTTTCAAGTTGTCTCTTGCAGGCATTTGTCACAGTGATGAAAAGTCTGAGCAATGCAGGTGGAGAGACTGTTAGTGGGCTTGTGCCTGCTTCTTGAAATAATGAAAATGTTCTAAAACTGATTTAATGATGGTTGTGTAACAGTGAATACATTAAAATTCTTGAAATAAAAAAATCTTTTTGAATAAGCCAGTAATATGATATATAAACTAATCTTAACATTTTTTTTTTTAAATTCTGTTTTAGGGCTGGAAAGATGGCTCTGCAGTTAAGAGCGCTTGCTGCTCTTGAAGAGGACTGGAGTTGGAGTCCTGGGATACACATTGGACAGCTCACGGCTACCTGTAACTGCAGCTCTGGGAAACCCAACACTTCCCCCTCACGGCCCCCTCCCCGCACCTATGCACAGGTGCACACCCACACAGATGCACATTAAAGAAAATAATCTTTTAAAGACATTCTCCTTCAGTTCTCAAAGGACTTCTTTAAGTGAAGATACCAGTTGTAATTTCCAAGATATTTTGGAATTTTTATTCCAAAACTAAAATCTAAATCAAATTCCCAATATCATGAAGTTTGTTTGTTTGTTTGCTTAGTTGGTTGATTTTTGTTTGTTTGTTTGTTTAGTTGGTAGATTTCTGTTTGTTTGTGGTTTTCCATGATTACTCAACTAAAGGGAGTCCTTAAAACATTAATAAAGAATGTCAGTGCAGGCTTAGTGTGTGGCTTCTCCCTCCTCACCTCGGGCACTGGCTACGCTCTTTTCCATCCCTCTCTGAGTCTCTAAGCTCTCTCCTTCCCTGCTTTGCCTAACCCACTCTAACATCCTCAACATGTGCTCTAAAGTTCCAGTGACTGATAATTTCAGTGTTTTCCAAACCAACTGTGCTGCTTCATAAAAGCAATTACAACCTTTTGAGGAGAAGGGGCCTTAGGATTAGAGTCCAGGCCATCCCTAGCTGTAGAGCTGCCAAGTTCTGACATCTAAGAGCTGTCCCTTTCTGCTGCCACCTTTGTCTGATTCCAGAAAGAAGAAGCATTTATGGGAAGCTAGTTATATTGTAGGTTAACAAGAAAGCACCCCTGGGAGACTTCTGGCTTTTCCTAGGACTTGCCTTGAGTTTTCAGTATTGATAGGAAGCCTGGTTTTGAACCCTATGTGCATGTTCTAGCTGTGTCACCTGAGGGACACCCAGCTTCTGTCTCTGTGGGACAATAGTGGTGAATCAGCCATAATTAATGCCCCTACCCACATCCTGCTTCACACTTACCTCCCCACAGCTATGGAAGAGCATTTCCATACACTGACAGCTCGTACTTACCACCCTGTGCTCTCCCCTGCCAGGGCCATGGGCGCTCTCATGGCCTGTAGGCATCCATCTATGGGACAAGCTGAGGTACCCAAGATTTCTCTTATCCCCTTTCTAGCCTCAGAGACTGCTTCAGGGAAAATCTAAAATAAGATAAATGCTTTCCCTGTTGGGAGCAAAGGTCTTTGAACTCACAGATAGCACTAGGGTAGCCAGGGAATTTTAAACACCCAGGGTTGTCTTTTCAAGGGAAAAGATGTATAACCAGTTTTCCACCCAGAAGGCTGGGAATGGAGGTGGCTAGTTGCCCAGGTAATCCTATGTGTGCTATCTGTAGAGCCAAGTTATACCTCGCTTCCCGGAAGTTCCCACAACCAGGACCAGAGGTAATTAATTGTCTAGATGATCTCTATGCTATCTGTATGACCAAGACCACACCAGAGCCTCCCCCAGGCCCTTATGATAGATAACAAATGTAGCCTAGCTATAATACCCACCTTCATGGAAGAAGTGGCATGTGCTTTGAGAGAGTTTCAGTGTCAGTATGCCTCCGTGTGCACAGGGAATTGTGTTACACCAGGAAAACTTCCCCCCAAATTATACTGTATTTAAATACACTTAAAATAAACTACCCAATGTCAGACAAGCTACTGAGTAATGGGGAACTGGATTTCCATCTCTGCAACTGTGACTGGGCTGTCCCTGATGTCTGCAGAGACCCTGCACTTCCCCAAGTGGGAAGAGATTTGCTTTGGAGATTAAAGGAGAACAAAATGACCCTCTCAGCATGCTCAAAACAAATGGGAAGTTTGAGTTACCACACCTTATTCACATCAAAATTCTCTTGCACCGGAGGAGACGGGCATTTCCCAAGATGGAAGCTTTGTCCTTTGGCTGTAGTGAAGAGACCAGCCAGAGTGGCCAGGAGCAACAGCATGGTCACCATCTTGGGGTTGGGTGGCTGCAGGACAGGCCTGGAGAGAAACAATGCAGAAACAATGGAGGTGTCTGGGTCTCTGGATGACACTCAGTGACTGATGACAACAGTGATGGAGAGCCCCTGTGAACTAGGTCTTTCAGTCAGTGTTCTCCTCAGCACCGAGGAGCTGCATCCTGCGGCTGCTGCCAGCCTGCCTCTCCAGCAGCAGTAAGACCATCGCCTCAGAGCCTTGGTACCTCCTTTAGAGCACCTCTTGTTGGATTCGCTTCCTTCGTGGATACACACACACACACACACACACACACACACACACACCATTGCATATTTCTCCAAGGTTGGAATCCTGTCTGATTCTCCTCAGAATCATCCCTTGGAAATGCCAGGCTCAGTAGGGACTTGTTTCTGGAATAAAAATAATATGTTTGCAGGGAATAGACAAACAGGGGCACTGAAAAGTCAAAAGGTTTGTGAATGAAAAAAATGGAGCTCAAATCCAAAGCATGCACATTAAGTGACCTGTAAGACCCATAAGGAAATGCTCCCCAGAGCCTCACATTTTATCCTCGCCAATGTTTTGTGGGCTGTTCTATCCACCTTAGATTGGTCCGGGAACCTTAACAAAGAGCAGCATATGGTGAGGGGATTGGGTTTACCCAAGCTTTACTCAGATGATGTACCAATTCTGGCTCTGTCACCTATTAAGTGTAACCGTGCAAAGTAGGCTGTTGCTTCTTGGCCTATGAAGTAGGACTAAGAGTCATGCCTATCTCATGAATCTTTGTGAAAATGAGATAGGATAAAATAAAGCCAGGGGTGATGGTGAAGGTAGCTACTAGGGAGGCTTAGGTGAGATCACACTGGAGTCCACCAGTTCAAGACCAGCTCCAATGACATGAGAAGACTCCCCCACCCCCCAAAAAAAAGAGAAAGAGAGAAAATAGGAATATTCAGAGTAGCAACTAACACCAAGCTCAGTAAATATTAGATTTCTATTTTATTTTACTTAACTTTTTGAAATAGCATCTCACCATTAGTCCTGGATAGACAACATGCTTTGACGACTAGAGTGGTCTTGAACTCACTGAGACCTTCCTGTCTCTGCCTCCCATGTGCTAGGAATAAAACATGTGCTATCTTGCCCAGCTAAATATTAGCATGGCTATTATGGAAAGCAGAACCAGGGCTGTATTTCCCAAATGTTTTCCCCATTTGCTGAGGGTGTTTTTCATAGAGGATGTGCATTTAACCAGAGAAGAGCTGTCAGCTGATGTGTATGGGTCCAACATTATTTCCATACAGAAGTCCTCTGTTGGCCACAACTCTGGGGAGGGGAGAGGACGGGGGAGTGAGCTGGCGGTCAGTTCAGGCTATGGATGGAGACGTTCCTCTCTGCCTCTCTCCCTGACTTGCCTTCCTTCTGTTCCCTTTCTGTGACTCCTTGCCTCACACTGCACATGAGCTATTTCCAGCTCACTGCCTTTCTCCCTGTGATGACTGAGTCAACGCAGGCAAAATGTTCTCAGATCTGAGCATTTAAAAGGATGTGTCATAACAGGAACAATTATAACCACTTTATTATGAGTCTCTGAACCTCCAAATAACTTTAATAATCAATAGCCTTTTCTTCTGAAGGTTTTGTTGCCTGGTTTTCAAAAGGAACAGTTATGTAAGGAGTGAGAGCTGCCAGCTGAGGCAGGCTGGGGAGGCAGGGGGCTGGGGAGGGGGCAGGCTGGGGCGGGCTGGGGCGGGCTGGGGAGGGGGTGGCTGCTGAAGTTCTCCGGAGCAAAACTGGGGTGGGACCACCATCCTGGAGGCCTCCTTCCTCCCATCATCATATAAACAACACCAGTCTTTTGACACTTGAGAGGGTGGAGTGTTTGTAGAAGCCCAGCCTAAACTCATAAAACCTTCGCACCCATTGTCAAGGGCTCTACCCAACAGGCCTAAGCCAATGTTCTTTCCCACACACTGGGCTTTAAAGTGTGGTACAGAGTATGTACACTCTACTGCATTTCGGAAATGGACAGGACTTTAGAGGTCATCTGTTCAGCTCCCCTACCCCAGCTCCTGCCCAGTGTGCAGATGGGGAACCTGAGGCCTGAAGGGAACAGGACTCTCACAGGGTCAGCTCTCCACCCACGGCCTCTCTGCCATGTTCCTGCCTGTGTCCATCTTTGTGCCTATGATACCCAATGAGCTCTGTCTCACCATGCATCGGTGATAACGAGTCAGCCCATGTCTAACGCTGACAAATGTCTCATTACAAGATGTTCTCTTGTGGGCTGAAACATACCCTTGAGTTCTGTGGGAGGATTCAGAACAAGGCTAACTCCCCTTGACTGCATGGCTTGGAGAGACACCATCTGGTTGTTTGAGTTTTCTTCCTATAGCTAAAAGTCCTTGAGAGGGAAGAAGCTGATACCATCCATGCTCCGTCCACTTGGATTCATTTAACACTGACAGAACATGCTATTGACATGCGTGTATAACTCTGGGGAAAAAATATGGGCTTTACAACGCATCATTTCCTATCTTCTAATGTCACAGGAAGATCATCGAGGTGAATTTACTTTGCAAAATAAGCTTAACTATAATTTTAACTGACTACCAAATAAGCGAAAGGTAATTTTCCCAAGACCGGTCTATCCCGGATCAGGCAGTACCTGGACTGCATGCACACTGAGGGTCAAGCACACTGCGCTTCTCCTTTGGAAGAGCTGGTCTGGGTACCCACTGTGTGCTCTGCATCGAAGCTGTCATCTGGAAGCCTCCTGTGCTGAAGTTGACCCTAATCTCTGTTAAGGTCAATTTGCTCAACGTCTCCAAGAGCACGCTTGTCACTTTAGCCACAGTCCCTAACCTCAAGAAGCCGTCCAACATTAAGTATATGTCACGTGGCAAAATAAAATGTTTGCATGGGTGAATAGATCTTAAAAGCAAACAAACACATGTAGCCTTTGAATGAACAGGAATCATTTCTTTTTCATTTCTATTTTTTCCCCTACATAGTCCTCTATCCTCAAGTTTGCTATCTACGTCAGGCTATCCCACAGTGTGTGATCTCTGCTTCTCCAGAGCTAGGACCGAAGGATCATACTACTGTGCCCAGCAAACTGCATATGTTAAACAAAACCGTTTTGTGGCCGGCTGGTGAGTACTCTGATCACATAAATAATCCCAGTTCTTGGTTGATCTTACTGTCAGGTGCAGTTGAGTCACACTATAAAACTCATCTGGTGCTGTCTTGCCACTCAGGCAATATCCTCTTTTGGATGGGGGTGGGGGGAAGATGTGTCGCAGAAGCAGGCACCAGGGCAAGCACAGGCTTAGCTACCCTTCCACCTCCGTCACCTGAAAACAGGTGCCAATAGCACTTACCTTGGAAGTCTGAGGAAAATGAGATGGAGCCTGTAAAAGCCCTCAGTCGGTGCTCACTGAAAGTTTATAACTGAAAGGAGGGCAGTGGGAATCAGGGCGGTCTCTGCTTTAACCATCAGTTATCCTAAGTGCAAGCTCAAACTACGGACATACCTCACGGATCAGATGAAGGCAGTTTCTACACAGAATCCTCCAAGTGAGGTGCCTGGCTTCTCCCAAGTTCTTTATAGGCTCTCATCAGCCCATTGCCCTTTGAAAGTCAGGCACGCCACACCCCCCTCAGCTCAGGGAGACTGGCCTCAAAGCTGAGCTCTGTATGAGGCACAAAGATGGGATGCTGTGTCTGTCCCCTCCCTTAATTTCCTTCACAGCTGCTCCCTGAGGAAGAAACAATGAGATATTGTTTGTGTGTGTGAGAGAGAGACAAAGTTGCATTTTCGTTCAAAACATCTTTTTATTTTTTTGCTTTGTGAATTTTCTACCTAATTTCTTTTCCTCTCCAATGCGAATGCGCTCTTAAGTTCCAGCAAGACCGGCTGTACTGTGTTTCCAAACATCTGGTATTTATTTTTTTCATTTTTGTGTAAATGAAAAATCAACAATTTCATTTCCCGAAGCGGAGCAGGAGCACTGTGCCCCATGGTGTCCTGGCCAGGAATGTGGGGATCAGAATTATGAGATCCAGGGCGGGTCCTACTTCAGTGAGCTCCAGTTTCCCCACTGCGAAGTAAAGACAGACATGGTCTTCACTAGAAAGGGGCACGTAAGGGACATGGAGGTTCTACACCAGGTGGGGTTAAAGGTGAGAGCATCCAAGCATCTTCTGCAGCTCCTCTCTCGGCACCCTTCGCAACACTCCACCTCCCTTGCACGGCTTGGAGTTGGAAAGTGGGGTACACATTTACAATGGGGACTTTTGGCTCAGTCACATTAGGGCATACCACAGGTACCCCCAGATGACTACAGACTCGGAAACCTGAGGAATGGCAGTAGTTTCTAATCGTTCCCCTGCAGTGTGGACTGCCAAATGAATGAATTGAAGAGGCTGAGCGTTCTGGCTTAAATTATACAGCCTGCTATTCAAATTCGTCCTCAGAACCTCAGCCCCAAAGAAACCTGTATCAGAGCTATGGAGGCTGCCTCAGACCAGCCTCTGCTTTGAATTTGCAGAGCTGATAGGGCAGCAGCGTGCTCCGGAAGGACCTTCCTTTCCAGCATATCTATAATTTTATAATAATTTTCAGCCAAATGGTCCTAGGGACAAATCTTACTGTGGATGTTGAGGGTGAACAGTAGAAGAAGGAAGAGCTCAGAGGACTGGACAAATCCACAGGGTCCTACGCACTATTCAGACCACCTAAGACCTCAGAGATGAGGCACTTAGTTTCTGTGTTGATACAGCCCAGTGGGACATGTGTAACCTCTGTTGCTGATGGGTCATTACTATACACATCCGGGGGGGGGGGGGACTGAACTTGTGACGTTAAGGAGTGAAGCTCAGGAAGCCTCTTGCCTTTAGTGTCTGAGAAGGGCACAGGGCTGTGAACCAAGGCAAGAAGTCTACCTTGCCTCAGGCCTTGACCATGCTCCCTTCCTGTATCTGGTTCCTATACTCTCCTTCCATGTTA